TTTTCTTTTAATATCTGTAGAGAAATCATGATCTCCTTCTCTCTCCCCCAAGATTTTTCTCCCAAAAATCATAAACGTGTTCGAACTTGAGTCACATATAGTGCTCAAATACCCAAAAAAATTTCAAAATTAAAGAACTTTTATGGGTAATGTTAGAATAAGAATTATATTACAAGAATTGATCGATCTCCTACAAATCCTGAAGAGAGATTTTTTGTATTGAAGCAAATAAAAATGCATGTGCGTTTGGTGGGTGAGTTGTGCAAATTATCTATTTGGAGTTATTGGTGTTTGTTTTCTTTTCATTTCTAAAGTAAACAACAAAGTTTTTTAGACGACCAATCACAGTTTCTGTTTTCATCTAAAAATGGTTTCTTTTTTTTTTCTTTCTTTTTTTGCTTCGACATTATAAATAATGACCCTTGAATTAATCCTTCACCCACACTTTGATTTCCTCCAAATTACGTCAACACTCATCAACCACATTTTTGTGTTTTTTTTTTCTTTTCAAAAGAGGATTGAGGGATCACCCACCATTGCTAATTTATGTTGTTTTTTGTTCTAATTTTTGGTTAACGTAAATTCATGGTAAAATAAATTATACTATGTTTTGAAGTAGTTTTATTTCCTATAATTAAAATTATCTCTCTAATTGTTTGCACAATTTATATATTATGCTATTTTTATTTTACCAATATTTTCCAGTAAAATAAAGTTAATAAATTAACTAATGCTTTGTATTTCAAGTTATCTGGATGGACCCGACTGAACCCATTGTACGGCGTCCGCCTTTGGGCCTGGCACGGCCCAGTTCGAAAATAAATTAGCTTTATTATTTTGAGATGGGAAAAAAAGCAAAAAAATTGGCCCATGCAGGTTTCGAACCTGCGACCTTCGCGTTATTAGCACGACGCTCTAACCAACTGAGCTAATAAGCCATTTGTTGAAGTAGTGTCATTTTTATACATATAGTGTGTTTTGAAATATTATATCGACGTAATAATATGCTGTAAAGGAAAAAAGAAAAACATAATCTTGCTGATTAGAAGAAAAAATTACAAGAATAGCAAAATAAAAGTAGGATTTATTTTTTGAAAACATAATATTATATCTATCTAGCAGCCCCTTCTAAAAGTTAAAAAATGATTAAATATGAAAATCGAAATCCACTCACTGTAAAATGACTCAATAAATTATTTTTAGGTTAAATTTTAAAATACAATTTCGGTCGGACTTGTACTTTACTATCTATCTCTTCAAATGTCTAAATTTAGCTTTTGTACTTTTAATAAATTTTAAAATTAATCCCCCATTTGTTTGTGGTTAACCCTTTCTTAAATAATTTAGTCTTTATCAACTTCTCTTTAGAAATTTAGGAAAATGATTCACATTGTGCCTTTTCTTGGATAGATTTTTTTCTGTCATGTTAGATAAATATTAACTTCAAACCAACCGTGAGGACTAATTTTGATATTTATAGAAAATAAATACACTAAATTTAGACATTTAGAAATAAAGAGACTAAAAAAGTAGAACGAGGACAAGATATTATTTCAACTTTAATTTTATGAAATTATAAAAGCAGTGGTATGGAAGTGGTTACAGGGCCATTTATTTTAATTTGTCTTTTGTTTCTTTGTATTCTCCGCCACATCATCGAACAAAATAAAAAATAAAGTCTTATACTACGTGTACGTGAGAGAGAGAATGATCTTTGGTGGGCCGTGGCCCAAATAGCAAGGTTTGGGCCATCTCTGAACCATATGGATCAGTGCAAATCACACCAAAATCCACTAATGACCCATCAGTTCCTTCCTTTATGACAATTTCTCGTAAAATTTAACCCCTCTCTTTCTATATAAAAAAATTTCTCATCTAAATATTGCTATTAAGATTTATGGATTCTATCTTAAAATTAATTGACGATGACTCCTTTAAGATGATATTTCTTTTGGGTTCACCAATCTTGGTCGGACCATGATTTGGACTAGATGTTCGTTTGAACATTCTGAACTCTAATACCATATTAAAATTCAATGATTYATCTCAAAACTAATCAGTGAGAAAAGAAATAATCCACTTATATTATAAACTTTATTAGGTCCTTATATTTTACAAAGTGGATCCCTAACAATTACGAGCCTAAACTTAATTCAACATTGATTGAATCTACCCCTGACTGTGAGGTTGTTAGTTCGAACCCTACACCCTGTTACTGTACTAAAAATAATTGGATGAATCTTACATTTTTTTTTTTTTCTTTGTTTCAGTGGTTGTAAATCAAATCCCCTTGGTCATCTTCATCATTAGGTTTTAATTTAAAATGAAGCCTTAAACAACACAACCGACAAGGCCACGTAATTCTCCACAGGACAGCCCTACCGGGTCAACTGACAGTCCTTTCATTTTTGGGGTAGGCAGTCAAAATAGGAGTTGGAAAGAAGAAACCCCTTTTCACAAAGTTAACTCTCTCATTCTCTCCTTTTTCTAAAGGTAAAATCATAAGCTTTATAAAATAATATGTTTAAATATGTTTATTTTATTTTTGTACTCTTCTTCTTCTTCTTCTTCTTCTTCTTCTTCTTCTTCTTCTTCTTCTTCTTCTTCTTCTTCTTCTTCTTCTTCTTCTTCTTCTTCTTCTTCTTCTTATTATTATTATTATTATTATTATTATTATTATTATTATTATTATTATTTTGTATGTTTAATATGTCCAAGGTAGTCTCTATACTTTGAAAAATGGATCATTTTGATTCTTTTTTATTGTAACTTTAGTATGATACTTCACTCATTCACTAAGATTTTTGAAATGCAACTATAAATTTGTAGTCAACTATTTTCATTGCATGTAAAATTTTATAAATAGAGATCAACAAACACTTTTTAAAAATACAGTATCAGAATGGACGTTTGAAGAACTAAAATGAACCAAAGTTGAAGAAATAGAAACTAAAACAAACATTTCGAAAGTACACAGATCAAAATCAACCAAAGTTGAAAGTAAACGCGAAATAGTCTAAAGCTCATCTTCCTTGCACCACCATTAAAAATTTGATAGTTATTTATTAAAATATATATATATATATATATATATATATATTTATTTATTTATTTATTTATTTATTTTGTTACTGGTCGATTTTTTTTTCTTTTTCTAAATTCATCTCTCTTGTCAATAAAATAATTTAATAATGGACATAAAAATGATCCAAACCCAAAAATGACCAAAAGAAAAAACCCCCCTTGGATTCCAACTAAATAACCTCAATTTCGGTTAATTTCTAGAGTGATGGACTTAAAAGGACTCATAATTCCAACTTCTTTTGAAGGCAATTAAGCTTTTAATCAATCCAAATTAATTACTCCAACAATCATGACTCATCAGTTTCTTTTGAATTACGCTAAAATACTCTCAACACGAAAAAAGGAGTTGTAGGGGTCAAGTTCTCAATAATAAAGCTTCTAATACTTTAATTGAATCCCTCATTTTCTCCGATCCCATTGCCATATCACAGCCTCCTCTCTCTCCCAATTTTGCATCGAAAATAAAGAATTGAACTCCCAGAAGTGAAGAAAACAGCTGGCCCTGGCGAGATTGAAGTTGAAGAGGATGATGGGCCTACACTATTTCATGACCACCACGTTCTTGTACTAAGCCCCCACACACCCAACAAAATATAAAATAAATAAATAAAAAGGAAGCCAAACCCACTCAAATCATTACAAAGAAAAAAGAAAAAAAAAGAAACCAAAACCATGCGACTCACAATCCCACAGTGCTCTGTTTACCGACATATAGAAATCTGTTGAGTTGAAACGAAAGGCTTTGGTTTTCTTCTGCCCTTTTGCCAGAAATGGGGAAAACCGGCGCCAAGTTGCCAAGTTTCTGCCTGAACCGGATCCGGCCGCACGTTCGGGTGCCCATACAGTCCAAACCGGACTCTGCCGGCACCGCCGAGAAGAAGGGCGGCGGTTCAAATTCCGGCGACGGAAATGTTGGAGCAAATGGAAGGAAGATTGTGATTGTGGTTGATTCGAGCTTTGAAGCAGAGGGGGCTCTTCAATGGGCGCTCTCCCACACCGTACAGAACCAGGACAAGATTCTTCTTCTCCATGTCATAAAGCCTTCTAAAAAAGGTCCCAAATTAGGCAAATTTACACCCAATTTTGTTACACCTTCAATGGGTTGATCTCATAATCTTCGTTTTGTTGCAGCAGCAGGGGAATTAGGAACCAACAAGAGAGCGTTTGAAGTGGTTCACTCTTTCAGAGACTTGTGCCAGTTGAAGAGACCAGAGGTGAGTAACGTCACATGAAACAAAATTTAAAATTACTGTCCCTGCATATAATAAGAATTCTATCTCAAAATTAATTAGGGATGAGTTCTTTATCTTTTAGAATCTTCAAGATCGACTCACTGATTTTTGTCGAATCTTACTTTTGGAGGTTTGTTGGAACGTTTTAGATTGAAAAATAGTCTAAATTTATTATAAACATTTGTTGGGTCTCYYCTATTGGATTTGTAGGAAAGTTTCACATTAACTGAGAAAAAGAGTGATCTATAATATATAAAAGAGTATAATTAAAGAAATTGTGAAGGCTATATTCAATACAGATAATATCATATTATTGTATTATTGTGTAGATATTTAGACGGGAGAATTACCAACTTTTAACGCCCTTATCTATTGGGGCGTGAATTTGGTTTGAATAGGTGGAAATTGAAGTGGCGGTGGTGGAAGGGAAAGAGAAGGGGCCGGTGATAGTGGAGGAAGCGAGAAAGCAGGGGGCGGCGCTGCTGGTGCTCGGGCAGAGGAAGCGGTCGACGACGTGGCGGCTTSTGATGGTGTGGGCGGGGCACCGGCTCGGCGGCGGGGTGGTGGAGTATTGCATCCAGAATGCGAGCTGTATGGCGATTGCGGTGCGGCGGAAGAGCAAGAAAGTGGGTGGATATTTGATCACCACCAAGCGTCAGAAGGATTTCTGGCTTTTGGCCTAATTAATTAATCAAGCCTGTAATGTAATGTAAATCTAAATAATTGAGAAATATAATGGGATTAGAATTGTAAGTGATTTTAATTGTTTGGAAAAGAAAAAAAAGAGTGTTGGTTGAATTTGAATAGGTGCAGTGGCACTCATGAGGTTTCCCAAAAAACTGTGGGTGGCATGTTCTGAAACTGTTGGAAATGTAATGATTTGGGGGTAACTTACTTAGCCTGTCCTGTCCATAAGTTTGGATCTAATTTTCTAAAATGATTGATCTGAGGTTTTGTTTT